AACCCTGGAATTGCCAATCTCTACTGAACTAATGTTATAAATAGGTATAGTCGTTAACTTGAAAACTACCGCGTCATGACATCACAAGGTGGAAGAGCGCATATTGATCTTTAGAGATGTAGACAGACTAATAATAAAAGATTACTCAAACATGTGAATGAAACAAAACACAAATCCAAGTATGTTTTTGATGAGGAAACAACATTATAGCATGACTTAAAGCTCACAAGAGTCAATTTTGCTTAATAGAAGACCTTTAAAGAATAAACTATAACAAATCTGAATTAATTTATGTAACAGAAATCTGAGTACAGTAATGCAAAACATGATTCACATATGTAAATATATTAGCTGTACACTATCTTTTAACCCTACCACAGCTTTTACATACGAGTGCCAAGATAGAGAAGTGCATACACCTAGAATAGATCATTCAGACAAAGGGAATTTGGACAAGTTGCGACCTGCTCAGATATGCCACAGTAATCTAGAAATCTTCTTTATGCTACCAGTCAAATGTTTGGCCTCACCCTCTCATTCAATTCTCTTTCTATATGTTTTCTACTACTATTACTATTATTACTGCTTTCTATAGTTTACATATATACAGAAACATCAAATATATGAAGCAAGATATGGAATTAGGTAGCAAAGAAAAAGTTAAAACATTTTTGTCTATTAAAAAAAAAAAAAAAAGAAAGCAAGAAAGAAAGTAGTAACCTATAGGTGATAAAGACATGCAAATATTGAATGAGGGTGTGCCCAAAGTTTTTGACAGTAGTGCATGTTCAAACACAACTGTAAAGAGCTATCGACTGCCTCTATAAATATGTTCAAAGCCATTTGTATAGCCTGCACTATTGACACACTATTGATTGACATGTCAACGCTGAAACAAAACAATGATATAAACTATTATCACGGTTTGATGCGTTTTTTAAATTGCCGGCACATTTTGGACACATCTGGAAACATTCGAAAGTAGAAAAAAATCAAAAACATTCCAGAGCATGGTTTATACGTTTAGATTAAGGCCCCGGTGAGCTATAGTTCTTTTATATTTGCAAATAATGTGCATGACCATCCAGTCCTTACTTAAATGCACCATGCAGGAGCTCTTTCAGTTCATAATATAACATTTTAGTGTAAGAAGAGAAGAGAAAATGAGACAAAAAACACCATAATTACTCATAAATTATTTAGAATAATTGACCTCATGACCCAAATAACAATGAAATCCTTAATTTTCTTTCTATTTTCTTACATCTTACAATATACAGTCATGGTCATCTTTGTAGAACTCAAACTTTCTGAATGATCAAGTAAAGTTGAGGTGACATAAACAGTCAGATTAAAAAAAAAAAAAAAAAAAAAAATCACATTATTTATCCTTTTTTGGGGTATAGATTGAATGAAAATGACTTAAAGGTCCTATATTACACAAAATAGATTCTTATGAGTTTCAAGTCATGTCACCAGATTTAAAGAGCCTTTATTAAGATGTTTTCTGATCTATGTTATAATGTTACTTCATTAAAAACATACCTGGCACAAAGACAAAAGCTCCATCTATTAGCAGATTTCTTGAGTCCAGTACAAAGAAGATGGTTTCTCTTACAAAAATCTTTTCACCTGTAGTGCTTCTGGAAACTCGCCATAAGTTTATGAATCCAAGCAGCAATAACAGGGATGGGAAATATCAATGTGCTCGCTGCGGAAGGGTTTTTCAGGAACTTGGTAGCTTGACAAATCACCACTTTTTGCATCAAAAGGATAGAATTAAATGCTGCCGTTGTTGCAAAAAACTCATTATTGGAAGAGTACCCCTCCCTGTCAATCATTCTGTTTCATTCACACATTTAAGTACCAGAAACATTTTATTACTCAAATTATGAATCTGTCTACATCTCCAAATGCTGAAAATGCTCTGTTCCACCTTGCAATGTCATAGAGCTGTAGGTTTCAAGTTAACAGCTCCTTTTACCTTTAGCTCAGTAGAGATCGGCAATTCCAGGGTTGAAAGCATCCAGCATATTCTAGTGAAGGTGTATGGAGTTTAAAAACACAGTGGAGCACTTCCTAACACATGATGGAGCACAGTGTAAAGCCTAAATATGCAGGCTTTGTGTGTTAAACATGTGTGATTAAAACAAAACACAACTTCGGGTATGTTTTTGACGAGGAAAAAAAGTAAATAAAGTATATCAGAAAATAGCGCAATTGGATCTTTAATTTTGGTTCTAATATTGTCACAATTACTATTTTTTAGCTCTTCCGATTACATTGTGGCCTGAATAATCCCGATCCCTATTGATGACACACTGATGAATTGGCACACAGGCGGTCACATGGTTGGTACAGACATATAGAGCGGAGGAGGGGATCGGTGATAAATAGAACATAGGTCAGACCCGCATTGATGTCTATGGCCATGCATCATAAGACCTGCCTGCTGTAGATGACGCACACAAACCACCACCAAAAAAGAAAAAAAAGGTTAAATCAAGAAAAAAAGCGTGTACTGAGACTGTGAGCTCAAATGTTTATAGCACTGGAATAATTTATCATGGGGAAAAACTTGAAAGAGTAAACACCTCAAATCAGTTCAAAGTGTGATCCAAGTATCCCCAGTAGAAGTCCACTCTTGCTTTTGCCTCAAGACTTACAGAAAACAGTGTGGAGAAATGAAAAATTAAATAAAATATGGACAGAGGAATAACCAACTAGGGATGCACCAAGCTTTTTCATCTTTTTCAGTTCCGATACCGATACTCTGACTTTGAGTATCAGCTGATGAACTGATACCAGTGTAGAGATGGAAAATGGCACTTTAAAAGGTCTTCAAAGGTAGCCACGCTGGCGCCACCTAGTGCCTCCGCGCAATTTCATTTCTCTCCAGCGACTAGGTCAGGAATTGGAATACACTAGACGGTTTGCAAGAACCCCAGAAGTGCGAGTCCGGGCACCTGCCAATCAGCGAAGAGCCATACATTCTGTGTTGGCAATGATTCCTGAGATTGGGGATTTAAAGCTCGAACAAAGAGAATGTTTGGTGAATTTTATCAAGGGGAAAGACATTATTGCCCTTCTTCCTACGGAATTTGGTGCTTTACATATGTCACGACCAAACAGCAGTGACTGGTTAAAAAAAAAAAAAAAAAAAGTACCTGCCTACTGTCGAGCGAACGAATCCTAATGCTGCTCCACGATGTGAAACCAGCTCATGAATCAGGCTACTTTAAAGGTGCACTGTGTAACTTTTCAGATGGAGGCAAAGGAATTGAAGAAGCAGCTTTAATGAGCTGCAAAAAGTATTAGACCAAACAAACTTTTGTCCAGTCAACAAATTGAATTTCTCCTTTGCCATAGATTCTACCTGGATGACTGAGGGATTTTTCACACATTTTCAGATGGAGGGTTCATCAAATGCTTTTCTCCATGGAGATGTCGTCTGGAATGTCTCTCAGTATGGCATTAAATCTTTCTATTTTCATGAAGACCAAACCAGACCAAGTTACAGGTCAGATCATACAAAGTTCTACAGTTACCAAGATAAATAAAAGTCGCAGAACACAATTGTTGGATCTCTTGTGTAATAAGTTAATTGTGTTTTAAAGTTGTACTATGTAACTTTTTGGTTGGAGGTCCGTCACCTGCTTGTTTTTATGGAGATACCACTGCTATGTGTGGAATGTTGCACAGTACAGTCCAGACATTAAACAGGTCTACCTTACATTCATTCAATTCCAGGTGGTTTTATTGCTCAAAAATATCTAGAAAAATAGGCATTCTGACTGTGTGCAGGGTTGTGTCTCCACAGATCTGACCTGTAACTTGGTCTGATTTGGTCTCCGTGAAGATAGAAAGGTTTAATAACATACTGTGAAACATTCCAGACAAAGCAATAACATTTGATGGACCCTCCACCAGAAAAGTTACACAATGCACCTTTTTAAAATACCAAAACTGCAGACGACCTCAGGGTACATAAAGTAGCTCGCGTACCACCAGAGTTACGCGCACCACAGTTTGAAAAGCACTGATCTAATTGCTTCCTCTGTTGATGTCCATCCAGGGGCCAAATTTGTTACGCCTCATCAATAATTACTGCTCTGCTCACTCACATGACAGCCTCAAATTCAGTCAAGAAAACTAAGTCAAAAACAAAACAAAACAGCTCAGCCCCATGGTCCGAAATCTGCCCCAAAGCTAAACGTGTCAGACGAGCAAACATTCTGAATGTAGAGATCTCAAATAACCATCACAAAGCGGTGACAGGGTGGTGCTCCAGTTCCACACAAAGAGCCCTTTTGTTTAGTGTAAAGAAACGTGCCCCTCCTGCGCTGAAGGTCAAAGCATAATTTAATTCTGTACATTTACAAGTGCTGTCAACCGAAGTTTCTGCTGTAGAAACAGTGTAAGAAAGAGAGATCTAAACAAACTACAATTACCATGGAAACACTCCTACTCCACATTCCACAGGTGTCTGGCACGCATCCTGGAGCCTCACTCCCACTGAAGACAAATCACCTTCAGCTAAAACATCCCAGTCATTCAAGTTTCGAACATCTCACAATAATGTTCTTCTCCAACTTACACCTCCTTCAGCTGTGAAACCACCTGTAGGCTGTACAGTAAAACCTTTTCACAGTAATCTTCTCTTTGTCATCCAAGCAGCAGCAGATCTATAGATTAGGATTTCCTTAAACAACCAATCCAGAAATCTTCTGGGAAAACCGTGGTTTTGTGAGGAAATTACTACAGTGAAAGCACAGTGCAGTCATAGAAGAACTACAGTAGATTCATGGTCGTGTTACAGAAGAGATTTCGGAGCAACAAAGTTATGGCGGAGATGCCACGTTTGATAACTGCAGCATCGTTTGTGCAGCCGTGTAGTCATGTAACCCAAGATCTGAGCAGTCTGCAAGTTAAATAGCGATAAGTCTGGTGATTCCAAGGACCGAAGACCCCAAAGTTTGCAAAAAAAGTAGGCTACTTACTTCATATTGAATTGATACGTGTCTATATCATATGAAGGTCTTGTTTAATTCTCAACCCAGCTTCCTGTATCCGTACAGCGGTGTTCACTGCGATGCCTCAACTGAGCCAGAAATCTTGAGTTTACATGTAAAACAAATTCCGGAAACGTAAGGCAAACATAAACCGATGCAAATAGGGGTTTGGCACTGTCTATTTATAAAGAAAACAAGCGAAAGGGGGCGTGAGCAGGCGCCGCGCAGCGCTCTACTACAGAACAGCGGAGAATATTTGATGACATATGTTACTAACCTGTGTGCAGGGGCGTGGAGAAAAGATCAAACCGATATCCTCGAAGAAACAACAACAGCGGGTTGATTTTTTAAGAACTAACGTCCTCAACCTATCACAAATGGCCTCGCGTAACTGTCATGCCGAATGTGGAGAGCCGACTGGCGATTGGTTAACACATGACACTGATGGTTGAGTCATGAATGAGCCTCAAATAGGGGCTATATTTACTCTTTTACATAGGACAGGACAGTCACGTCTTGATGTGATTCATTCACGAACACAAAGGTGTCCACATACAGACTCGGACCATCTACAATCAGTTTCAAGCTAACTGATTTAGGAGACTGGAAATAGGCCTAGATTATTATTTAGCAGAGTGTCCCCACTTCAGAGAGACTGTCTAGTCTAACCTCGTACAGCGGAACTGGAGGAACACAGTATTTTCTGTAACCACTAGAGGGAGCACTTGTCCATTTAAATAGAAATAAAAATAGAAATGTTAATGGATGTTTTACGCAGTCTAATTTTTCAAAGATATTTTCTGCGTAACAAATAAGTTACGTTAGGGAAACGGCCCAAATTCCAAATGTAGTGACACGAGATAGTATAGACAAGACCAGGCAAGTACATCCGGCCATTAAACACTTTTTTTTTTTCCCCCGAGGCTGCCTGTTGAATTGGGCAAACTTTCCATAAGGAGTTTAATCATCATCATCATCATCATCATCATCGTCATAGTCATCATCATATCCTTAATAACATTTTTGAGGGGAGCAGATCTCAAGTAGTGGGGTATTTCGTACCTTCGTACTTCGGCCAAACAACCTGCTAAAAGCATTGGAATCATTCCACCGGTTTACGACCCTCTGTGTCTGTGCAACCCCCGATGGAAAAAGTTTGCCAGGACACCCGTGGATCGAGAAACCCTGAGCAATGTTAGTGCTGCAGTCCAAACGGAAGATGGCGCACGCACTTCACAAATGTAGTAAAAGTGAGTTGACTCGATGAGTTTCTGCAAATGTGTAACATAAATTAATAAAACAAAGAAAACAACACCGACCCACATCATCCCAGCCTTATTCTACCACGATAAGATGTAATACTGGCCTAGATTTACATTTATATTCTAATTGTTCAAATGTTTTGTTAAAATATCGTGTGCGTAATAACGCACGTTTTCTTCACACATAATGCTTTAAATCTATTGAGAGTTATTATAAACATGTTTTCAGAGTGTGACTATAACAATGGGCAGTAGGATACCGTGTTTATAATAGAAAGAAATGAAATGAAGTGTAAAATGAATTCATATTTCATATTTAAGTATAAGTATTGACTCGTGTTTAGTTGAAACTAAAACGTGCTACAGCCATAAACTTTGAAATCCAAAGAGATCCCGAAATATGCCCTTTCAAAAGAGATTTCAAAAAGTCTCGATTTATTTCAAAAGGAAACCGTAAAGTTAAAACTTTGTAATTAAGTAATAGGATTTTCTGCCCCGGCTCCGGTCGCTCGCGCTTTGCTCTCCATGGTGCAGTGAAAACGCTCCAGACGCTTCAGATCTCGTGTGAGTCTTTTCTTTTTAAACCTTCTTTCTTTTTTGTACTCCCCGACATCGCTCACAGGATCAAATGTTTCAAAACACGGGAAAAGTTTCCAAATTAAAACATTTTGGGTGAAAAGAATGGCTGCACAGTGTCTTTGCGCATGAGAGCCGCGTGAATGCGTGAGAAGACGCACACAATAAACCTGTTGTTAACCTTGCTGTGAAAATATGTTTGAAGAAAATAGCCAATTGTTGTATGAAATGTATTCAAGTATAAAATAATGCCCTTTGTTTGGGCTAAAAACTTGAGCAATGTGAGGGTACAAAAGTCCCCTGTGGCATTTACTCGCGGCCTTTGTGCAGTGTGCGCTTTGGCGTCTCCACTTGGCGCATTACCCAGGCCCCTTTAAACGCGATTGTTTCTTTCTTTCTAATGACATTTACCGGATCAAAACATGCTGTTAATTCGATCAGAAAGCTTCACCCTTCATAACAATAGCAGTATAATTTCTCCCAAAGTTTGTTAAGTTGACCGAAATTAGGCAAATGAATAGGGGTCTCCAGGCTCTCCATCTTGCAGGTGACGGGAATAATGCGCGCTCACACCAGCTGCATTCTTCTTTATTTCTCCCTTTCTTTCACTGCATTATTAAAATTTAGGCCAATGAAACTATTCATTGGTGTGAATAGACATTTTCTTATAGGATAATAGGATACAAATTGAGCCTCTCAGACTCTCCAGTGGTGGCTCACCCTCGTGTGCCAGAGGCGGCAGGAGACGCTGGCCCTGACGCAGCCGACGCTCGTGTGCCAGGCCTCATCACACACCTGCCGAGGAGGCCAGCGAAGGGAAGAATGTAAACAAAAAGCTTGCCATCTCTTGTAAAAATGGACGTGTCAGCAAGTCGTGTGAGAAACGCCGAGAACAAACGGGGGAGCTGCGTCTCCAGCAGATCTCCCCTGAACTTGGCGGAACAGCCTATTAAAGGCTTACTTAATTACTCTAATGACACTGGACAGGCCTTAACACTGCAGGGCCGAGATGCGAGTTAAGATCGCTTGCTGGGATTTGTAAACAGCCGATCGTGTGAGAAACGCAAGATGTAAGAAAGAGGGTTTCTGCGGAGGCTTTGTTTTCAGTGCGCGCAGTGCGCCCCGCCGCATCAGGCGATCCCAGCTCACTTCTTATTTCCCGCCTGGCTCTTACTATGCAAATAATATTCGCAAACTAATCACGTGTCCTTTGAACAGCCACGTGGATTAACAAAGCAGGTTGCCCCCCTGCAAGCCCATGGCTTGAGATTTTTACAATTTCTTTAACTGATCCTAAATGCACACATTTAGCCAATGCGCGTCTCTAATCCAGTGGAATAATTTAAGACTGAATGCCACAGAGGCGCCTTTAAAACCAGCAGCAGCTTCAGCAGCTTCACCAGACTTCAGTCTGCTCCTGCCACAGCAACACATTCGTCTCCATCACCTGCGGTTTTTAGAGAATCTATGAAGAATCCAACGATGGCATCGAAGTTGAAGGAGAGAAAGGTATGCGCAACGCGCACACTACACCATGACGCAGGACGAATCGCAGGAAATATGACGTTTTGTGCCTTTTTTCCGGAGTTTTTAGGCATTGTACTTGCCTGCAGAAACATTTGGAAGATTACAGATTTGTTGTTCTTTCGAGATTTTTTTCTTTTACTGTCCAAAGACTGTCCAATCCGTGTGCGTAAAAGGCGCGCAACCGAGTCTCTACAATATATTTAAGTAGGATTCCTGTCCTCACAGGCAGAACAGGACGATTGGAATATTTACTGTGCAACTGTTATAAAAAGTAGAAGTAGTGTAAGTCACTTAAAACTTTTGGTTACTTGTGACAGATTATTTGTAGCTCTAGGAAGCCGTGCGTAAAATGTGGATGTACTTTGGGTGTTTGCGGTCTATTACTCTTGTTGAACCGGCTATGGGTGGAACGAAAGTTACATATTTTTGTATTCTTCTACAGTAAACTCACATTTTATGTGTTTTTTTTTTTTTGTTTTTTTTTTTTCAATTTACAGAGAACTCCAGTCTCACACAAAGTCATTGAGAAACGCAGACGCGACCGTATCAACCGCTGTCTCAATGAACTGGGAAAAACTGTTCCTATGGCTCTAGCCAAACAGGTACTGGGACCCACATCTCTGAATAACAATTCATGTGTGACAGAAATTGAAAACGATTGATCAGTGTGTTTGCTGTTTTAATCTTTAAGAGTTTTTTTTTTTTTTTTTTTTTTTTTTTCTATTTTGTAGAACTCTGGTAAACTAGAAAAGGCTGAAATCCTGGAAATGACAGTCCAGTATCTGCGCGCTCTACACTCTGCCGACTTTCCACGCGGGAGAGAAAAGGGTGAGTTGTTACATATTTTACGCACAAATTACACAATTACTCACGTTAACAAGTTGCTCATTTACGGCACCTGCTTGTAGTGACCGCTATTTTGTGTTTTCCTTGTTCTTTTTAAACTATAACCTCCAGATATAAACTAAAACATTGTGCTTCTTTTCGTTCACAGGCGAGCTTTTGGCTGAATTCGCCAATTATTTCCACTACGGATACCACGAGTGCATGAAGAACCTGGTGCATTACTTAACCACAGAGGACAGGGCTGAGACCAAAGACATAAAGTACGCTCGCATCCTGGCTTTCCTGCAGTCCAAGTCGCGCGCTGTTACGGATCCGGTTTTTGGCTCTCATGTGAGTTCAGTTCCCCCGGAGACCTGCGATTTTCTGGGACAGCTACACGCGACACCGGACCAGACCCACAGTCCAACCGAGTCCATGTACCACCAGCAAAATCCCACCGGACACTTTTCCTCGTGGCACGGCCCTGCACGCGGCTCCGGTTTATCATACCCAGCCGTGCACGCGCAACATACGCAACATGGAGGATACATATCTCCTGTGCAGGGACTGGACCACCATTACTTCAACTTTATTGGCCATACGCACGCAAACACATTTAGTTTGCACAGTGCTCAACACGCCATGTAACTGTTGCCTTGTTAAACCGTAGCCTATTTATATGTGTACCATAGTGTGGATAAATGCAGTGGATATTGTAAATACTGTAAATAAAACTAATATTATTAAAAATGTTCCAGGTGTTGTCTCATTATGTCGTCTTGAAAAGGATTTGAGATTTTGGGATGCAAAGATATTTAGATTTCATTCATGGGTGTCAAACATAGACCCCAAAAACTGTAATTATATGTACAATCTATGGTGTTAAATTAACTTTTATTTTGACCTGGGTGTCTGAAAGTGGGTTATTTTATTGA